ACCAAAAACGAGTCGCTTTTTTTCTCTGTTTAGGGAACTAAATAGCCTAATTTTTTTGTCAACACCTAGAACCTTTTTAGGCTAACTTGGAAATTATAGGTTCTTAGCACATACCAGCTTGTGTACTTCCTAAGAACGCGCGCGCTCATTGGTTAATTGGACGCGAATATTGTACGATATTCACCTCTGAATCTCGGAATATTGAGTCGGCAACAAAATGGCATCTGCCGGCAATCGTTTTGCTACAATTTCCGATGAGGAAATTGAAAAAATGAAAGTAAATACCATTCCTATCAATACTATAAAAAGGCAACGAAGTATGGCCTAATTGAAGCTTTGCTAAACGTTTTGCTAAAATTTTTGCGTGAATTTGTCACGCAAACTRMAAGTTTCTGTTYGTTTGYTTTTATTGAATTATTGTATTTAAAAATAAGTTACTCTGTACACAAATTGGTATACGCTAAAACAATTATTCGCCTCAGGCTCAGTGAATATGGAGAATATTTRCCTCGTCGCTCGAAGACACGCGTCTCGGTAAATACCATAAAATTGCCATCTGAAATGGGTGAAAATCTGATGTTAAACAATAGATCTTTCGATCCAATAAAGGAACGCTATTATTTGCACACATACATCATGTCACATTTCCATACATCTTGAAACAAACAGCATTTGTGTATCACAATGAAAACCAGAAATATATACGGGCCCATATATATTGATAATAATGTGGCATTTTTTCATAATTAGCGCACAAGWAAAAATGGCTTCAGTGAATAGTAAAATGAAATAGTTTGCCAGGATTTGTATGGGRAAATATGTTAATGCATTGGCATTTTTCCAACCAAACAAGTTCTATGTCATGGTTATATTTCTTTTTTCCCCTTAATACTCTACTGGGCTGAAGCTTTATATTGCCACAAAATAAAGGTTTGTTGGAAAGATAAAGGAAACAAGATTTMTATTTTCTTGGAAAAGAATCAAAAAGAAAACAATTGGCCTGATTTGTGATATATCGTTATCAATGCAACAGATCATCACGCACAAGGCTCCAAGAGAGTTGTAACCAACAAGCCCACCACCACCACCACCAACACCAATACGGGTGATAACGCATTTGCCAATGACATCAATCAGTGTCTTTTCACTGCATGGACAACCACAAGTAACCCTATAAGCGGGGTGCTAAGTGGACCAGTCCAATGTGGAGGACAAKGAGGAACAGCCGTGCAGCTCTGTTATGGCACAGCACCACCTGTAGCACAATTTGCTGTTTGCTACAACACCAACACACTAATCCCAGAGTTTACTGGTCACAAAGTGAGCGCGGACATCAAAGATGGTGGAAGAGACTCTGAATGGAGGGCAGATCAAGGGAATTTTGGTAATGCTTTCGTCTGTGTAAATATTGCGTAATGTTGGGGAATATGCCTCCTAACTCACGTCCAAGCCAAATTATCGTCCGATATGAACCCTTCAGCATTTATACCACTCCTAATTCACCTGTTTAAATTCCAGCGGTCAATAAACATACCCTGATTTTAMTGGTACTTTAATGTTTTCAGCCCCAAATCCACAATCAGCCATCGCAGACTATGAYCCCTACAGCCAAAAAGGGCTCTACGACAACTATGATATCCAGAAGCAATTTTTCTGCGCCAAGGGACACCTGACTCCAAATGCGGACTTCGCTGACGATCAGCGTTACTTGACCATGATAACGACCAACATTGCACCACAATGGCAAAATTTCAACAGTATAAATTGGGCAGGACTTGAGAAAGCTGTTAGAACGTATGCACGAAACAACAAAATTGACGTTTATGTCTTCACAGGAGTTGGTAAGCAGCATTCAAATCTATATATTTACAAGTATTAGYTTAGTTCTTTTTATCGTTTAATTGTCTATAAAAAAAACTAAAATTTTAAGCCAAAACTCGTCACATAAAGGTCGCTGAAAATGGCATGGAGCGTTTCACAAAATGATGTCACTATTCATCCACCAATCAGCGCGCCAGCAATATTAAGCTTAGCTACAATCTGATGGAGCCAAAATTCGTTGAGAGATTAATATTTACGTCTGAGTTCGATATGTAATGCTACATTTCCTTTTCAGGTGGTGAAGCAAAGAATTCAACCGATAATGTCATCAAGCTCAACAAAAGAGTTCTGGCACCAAAATGGTACTGGAAAGCTGTCTGCGATCCTGTGGCCAAGCAGTCTATAGTATTTGTTGGGGAAAATAGCATCGGTATCGTAAGTAAAGAAAAAGTTGTTGGGTGTAACGGCATAAATCAGACAAGAAACTCAGGAATAGTATACTGCTATAGTTTGGAAGGAGCTCGTAGTGCGCACCCGGATTTTAAATTGCCCCAATTTAGCAATAATTGTAATCCATTAGAAAAAGGTAAATTCATGGATACTTTAATAAAATCTGCTTTTAAGTAGTAAAACAATATATTTCTTAATCGATGTGCAAGCTAGATTAAAGCAAATAAACTGACGTATTCAGCGCCTGATGAAATGGTTATTGCTTGAGAACAAAGRTATATCAGGATACATTTGAGATCAGATGAGATGACGCCTATCCCCTCCTGATACCTTAAATCTCCCCTATAATGGATTGCGGATAATTCCCTTGAATGCTGCAGTATCCCTTGCTTAAGCCTTTGGGTATCAGTACCAACCCTGTAGGAGGTACCCTCGGTTCCAGGGGCTCACGAACTTAGAATATTGAGCTAGAAAGTGATCACTCGGCTAAACGTAAAATGACTTACTCTACTATTTTCAATTATTTGCCATTTGCGTGACACTCTTACAACTTATACATCACTTCCATAGAGGTCTTCTCTGATTTCCTGAACTGTCATGTGCACTCAGATATGTATTGAAAATAAGATAAAACTAAAGCGCACAAGAGCCGATTCTCTGATCAAGTGACAATTTCGACTTAAAACAAGTCTTCTCACGAATGAGCATTTTACGGATTATCTTACGATGCAAAATATATACGTTATAGGAAACGTCTTCAAAACAGGAAGCAACAARCAAGAAAAATCTTCAGACTGTTGGGGAATACTACTTGATCCTTATTCCATTCTCCTCTCAATCCTTCCGGTCCTTAGTAATATCCTTAAAACTCCAATAAATACTTGGTAAAAATCAACGAGGATCGCGTTGTGAAAAGCGATTCCTGTATTGACATTGACTTTTCAAGTGGGGTTATCGTTCTTGAAGGGAAAAACTACAACTCCTGTGTGTGTTTTCTACCGAGAGATTAAAGCCCACCGCAAAGACCGTGTATAACATGGATTTCATATACAGAGGATCCCATATTCAGAAAAAGAAATGACAGCCATCTTTGATAGTCACATGAGTGCCATAGCTTTTCGGCGATTCTGTCACTAAAAATTGTGACCAATCTATTTATGGGAGTGATTTGTTTTGTCTAAGTACCAGATTAGCTTGGTATAAGAGAGATATCATTTACAACTAGGCCTTTATTTTRTAAGCAATTCACTGTCATTGAATAGCATTGAAACGTGAGCGCATCATGACTTTCCCACAATTTTGAAAAAACTGGGGCGCATGGCCCAATCCATCGCAAGACAAGATGCATGGAATGACTGTCAATACAGTTGAGTCGGCCGTCGAAAATTCTCTAGTGTTTGAAGTATTGTAGTATTTTCAATATTTGTTTTAAAAAGCAAGGCTAATCGGCTCAAGCCTATTCTAAATGGAAGCAATATTCGTTGCTGTTCCAGCAATGCTGTCAAATCAGATAAGGTGTCGTCTTTACCGTGTAATTGGCACTTGAACGACTTACCGTTATACTCTCAAAAGATCTGTCAAACGATCAATCTTCATATACAGTGTTCAACTCTCTCTACAGTCGTATTTTGCATTCTAGTTAGATTTATATTAATTTGCTTGTAAAAAATATGGATGAATTTTTTCTTTTTTTAAATTTTAAATTTAATTTTTGTTGTTGTTGTTGTTGTTGTTGTTGTTGCTAGTAATGAACTAGAAATTCATGATCAGCTACCACTTTGAGCTGTTTTCCGGATAAATAAAACTGATAGACACATTTGACTTCCTACACAGCTATACTTCTTCAGCAACAACACTTTTTGGGATCTCTCTACTAAAGGTTTTCACTCAATAATAGGTTTCTTTACTATAAAACCCTAGCTGCCATGATTTACGGCCAGGGTGACATTGAATATGTGTGTGGCACTATAGATGASAGAGAATAATTTGTTTGACATCAATTTCTGAAATAAATATTTTAATATTTATTTCAGTTTTTAAAGAAACTTTCARTCAGTGCAAGAATTGTCTTTTTCTTTAGCCAAGAAAAAAAAATTGGTTGATGCCTTATTATTACTAAAGACTGTTATTATTATTTTTGTAATTTCAAAAGTTTCCAAAATAGTCAAAAAGACGGAATTTTATGCCCTTGACTAGGCAAGTAAAACTAGTGACCGGCCAGAGAAATCCCAGCTCCATTGAATGGTTTCTTTGTGTTGAAAGACTTTTTATTACATGGTAGCAGGTCATATCGAATATGTCACAGCTGGGTTGATAAGGAATATGTCATCTTGTGTGGGTTCTGTTCAGTATTTTTATAGATAAAGTCTTTGCATTTTTTTACTAACTTGTTTAGCTAAACAATGCCGACACAAAGTTTTGGATAACATACACAATGATAGCATTACATACACGTGCCTAACAAAATAGATCTTCCTTCAGAGGTTATTAATAATCTTCGAAAACTTAAAATTTCAAACAACGGTTTAAAAACAAATATTGTCCAAAAATTGTCCGTATTTTTGATCTTTTAATGATAAAGATGAGCTTAGGACTTGTTTTTCTGACGTTCTTGGCCATACTCAGTCTAGCAGTTTGTCACAGCCGCAGCACGGAACATGATCAAGACGACCAGCTATTGCAGATATGGGCAATGAAAAAGCTTCTGCGATCTTTGAACATGAGAAATGAAATCCCACTTATGCTTAAGAAAGGATTAAAATTTGCTCGCTTATCCAACGGTAAGAATAGCCAAAACATATACTTGATTGTTGTGACTGAAAAGCCCATATTGGGAGTTGCAAGAAAAGTATGTAAGCTTATGTATGTATGTATGTATGTATGTATGTATGTATGTATGTATTCTTCGTATACACTAGGAAATGTTATGTTTTATAGGAGAATCGTTTCTTAGTCAATGCACTAAAGCATGTCATTCTGACCCTGCTGCAAAATACTTTTTGAAGTTGCGACGCTGGTTATTATGATAACCAGAAGAATAATAAATTATAATTTTCTCACCGCTTTTTTATTTTTTTAAATTTTTTTTAAAATTTATTTATTTATTTATTTATTTATTTTTTTTCACAAATACTGATGTTGAGGTAAAATGTGAAGTACACAGACTCCGATACCTTGAAAAAGCATCATCAAACATGGCGATAGATTGCGCAACAAGAATGCCTCTTCGGAATGTGAAGCACATTACAGTGTTGCTAGTTGCAGTTTATTTATAGTATTTCGCTGCATACCAATTAGGACGAACATTGTACCTTTCTTTAAGTGATCTAGCCACCCACCGAGTCCGATCCCTCAACCAATTAATCAAGACGACAGTCAACTAATGCATTCACCACCTTCCATACATCATTGACCAAATATAAAGTATTCAAATGAGACTACAAGGTAGTTTCAAAAGATCATTCAAATTTGAACTCTGAAGCCTCGGTTGAATGCTTTTGTATTTCACTGAAGTGAATTCAGCCAAGCCCGCCGCCCTTGAAATTTAATCGTTCTTACAATCAGCCACTCATCCAATTTTTTAGCTGCAAATAATGTTGTCATTGTCACTATTTTAATTCAATCTTTTTTAATTAATTCTAATTTGAATTCTTTCGTATACATATAGCCACAATGAGACAACGTCGATCGTATCGACGGCGCTGCATGAAGACGATAGAATGCTGCAAAGTCAGCTACATATTGAAGTTTAGAGCAATTGGATGGGACTGGGTCGTAGCACCACCTTCGATGGAGATAAATAAATGYCTGGGTGTGTGTACTGGACGATCCATGTACTCACGTGCTCTATTGGCACTTTTCAAGAGGAGTCTCATACAGCAAGACGAACTCCCATGCTGTAGACCGCTGACTTTAGACAGTCAGTCTATCATAACGATTAAAAGGAACGGTAGAATAGCTCAAAAAATGCTAAAAAATATTAGAGTAAATCAGTGTGCTTGTAGGTGATGTTGAAATATAGTATACTTTTACCGTATTTCATAGGCCTCTCGATTTAACAAGTAGTTAATATTTACAAGGACGGAGGGAGTCACTAACCTCTTTACTACCATCGCTTTAAACAACGACAGCTTCTTCGTAAACAATGGGAAGATAG